AAGTTTATATTATCCTAAGTATTTTTATTTTGATATCTCTATAAAATATGCTGCAGAATTATTCTGGACTACAAACTACAGTGTTAAGACTTGATTGCTGGTCAAGAATTTTGTGAAGGAGGAAAGTCAATGAAAGAATTGACTACTAGAAGTTATACTAAAAGTTCAGTCTTGCCAAAAGCATGAAATCATCTGGATGCATTTCCATAAAATTTATTTTTCTCTTGTTCAAATTTACCTATTCATTTCTGGTTGCTAAATGTTTGGTGTTATATAGTATATCATTCTTAATTGGATTGTTTTAAAGATAGAGATACATCAGGAATTGTCTCCCTCTGGCATACATTTTCCTAAACTTGTATGTGGGCAGATTGAAATATAAAAGATAAAGGGCAATTGTGCATATGGTTATGGGTTATAAGAAAGAAATCCACAATATTTAAAGTTGTTAAATGAATGTGTAATCTATGACTTTTATTTCAGACTGTGAACAAGTGCAGCCTCCACTGTGGCTACAGACTCTAATGAATGCTTGCAAGCAAGCGAGCGATTTCAGTGTTCAGGGAGTTACTATTTCCCTTGTGATGGACTTGGTTGGATTGACTCAATCTGTTGCTCTCGTCACTGGAGAAAATCTGAACAGTGTGGAAACTGCTCAGCCTCTTAGCCCTAACCAGGGAAGAGTAGCTGTGGTCATCAGACCTCCTCTTTCTCAAGGCAATCTGAGATACATGGCTGAAAAGACAGATTTCTTCAAGGTATGATGCAGTATCTCACTGCTGTTTTCTTTAGACTTCTTTTCCTGTCTGGTGAAGAATAAGAGCCTTGGCCACATTACCATTATTGATATGGTAAACCAAATTTTCATCCTGAATATTTTGATAACAGTTGTAATCCATGTTAGATTCTAAATGAAAATACACAGTAAGTTTTCCCACTGTGATTCTCTTATTGACTGCTTGGGGAATATCCTTGTTAGAATTAATATTTTAAAATTTTAAATAAAACCTGATACAATAGCAGCATTAATCAGCAAAGGTATGAGACTGATACATGCATAATGCAGGACTCTGGTAAACCCCAGTCTCTGCATTGGAGTAATTTGTGTAAGAAATACTTTGCAAAAGTTAAGCAGCAGCAGGATATGTTACACAGTTAACGATATTTCAATGAAAATTCATTTCTGGAGATGCCTGAGAGTTCTCATTCTTATAAGCATGTTTTTGTGTAGTAAGTTGTTGCAGTATTTGAAACAGTTCATTATATTCATACAAAAGGAATCATTTTACAGATTGCCTCTTGGTCATGGAGTGTCATCAGATGTAACATTTCCCATCATTCTGTAGAGCTCAACACAGTCTAGAGCAAAACAAGGCATGGTACTCATTCACTTGTGTCTCTTGCAACTTCTTATTTTCCTGTACAAAGCATATAGCTTTGACTCTTTGGGACCAGCTGGGCGATGGAACTCCTCAGCATCATCAGAAGAGTGTGGAGCTCTTCTATCAGCTGCACAACCTCGTTCCATCTTCTAGCATTTGTGAAGATGTTATTAGTCAGCAGCTGACTCACAGAGACAAGGCAAGTTGTTCATATGTTTACTAAAAGATGAGTGAAGCATATAACTATAGAAATATATTTAGAAAAAGGACTTGGTGCTTCAGAGGAAGGTATAAGTACCTTCAGTGTTGGGAAAAAATGTTGCCTTACATTGCTTCAAATGTTATTTTAGGTCTGTGATGAGCCTCTAGTTTCATGCTAGACAAAGGAGGCTTGACAGCATTCAGCAACAGACTTATGCAGGAGACTTTATCTCTTACCAAGAGTTATGCTCTGCTTCCCAATATATAAGGCACGTGCTTAGCTTTTACTATTATTAGTAGAGTTTTACTTGTCATGACAGGTACTTAATTTTTTTTCCTCACCTAGAAATTTGTTTCACATAGAGGCTGTCAATTTGACATTCAAGTTGAGGCCTTTGTAGTGCTTTTAAATTAAGGTTTATGAACTGTTTTCACAGCCCCAACAGAATGAATGGTAGGGAATGACTTGCTTGCACACACTAGCAACTCGTGCTTGTGCAACTTCAGAAGCAGTTACATTTTTGCCTTTCTACTGGTTACCAGGTCAGCAGAAGTGAGTGTGAACCAGTGTGTCAATCACTGCAGTTCACAGCTTGGCATATTGTTAAAATTGACAATGATTTTTAGTTTCTCTTATTAGGCTGTTCTGTGAACAGCTGTGGCTGTGGATGTGGCGCTCGCTCATTTCTGCCAACCTTCCTGTGAAAACAGTAATTTTTTACACCTTCCCAGCATGGATTCCATGGAGTCGTCTGTATGTGTTGGAGAACTGATATTTTCACCCTGTTCAGCAGATGTTAGTGAATTGTTTTGTGTTAACTGTATATTTAGCAGCAGTGTTGTGGGTTGTTTTCCTGTGAGAAGCACATTTTTTTCTAAATACAGGTGATCTTGCTTTACTTTTTAGAATGCTGCTGTTTCTCTTATTGTTTTGGTATGAGTGGTTTCTTTGGGTGGGTTTGGGTTTGGGTTTTGTTTTGTTTTATCTAGTTTGTCTGATCTCTTGTGTCCTTACTCTCATTTGTATAGCTTTTGCTTCAAATTTCATTACTATGGCAGACATTGGTTGTATTAGCTGTTGCTAAGCTTCTTGAATTTTATGATGTAAATTAAGCCTGGGAATCTGCCAGATTTGTCACAGTGGTTTTAACAGCATTTTAGTTTTGTCTCACTTTTGTTGAAAGTAAGTATATCTACTGTTAATTCTGTGTAAGCATATATTGTAAGAACAAGCAACTAAAAATCTTTGTCCTCTTGTCTCTGTTTATCATCTAGTAATTTAGTCTAAGCCCTTATTGTATTTCAAAGTAATTTTTTTGTTTTATTCGGTGTAATTGTCCTGATTACTGTGCTTTGTTTACCCCTACAACTGCTTAGTGGCTTCCTTGTCTCTTGGTAAGGTTGTTGTTATACACGTACCCATGTATTCGTGTCATAGCATGACATTTGCTGTTGTTGGCAGCCTTGTTGGGATAACTCTTTGCCTTGATCAGCCACAGTAAAGAGAGAAAGACATAACAATTTTTGCTTTACACCATTTTCACTATTGAATATAAGGATTTGGATTTTGATGATCCTTCTGACTCAGGATATTCTGTGATTCTGTGAAATGGCCCTGCCTGAGCAGGGACGTTAGACCAGATGAGCCACTCTGATCCCTTCCAACCTGACCAATTCTGTGAAATATTCTACAGATTATTACTAGTCATTAGAAGTGCTTTGGGCAGTAAGCTTGTCCAGTTTGTCCAAATAAAACTCAAAGTTCTAGAGCAAAATCTGATGTGTTAGTGAAGAACTCTTTCTACAACACATCTAGCTAGAAAATTATTGCATCTCTTTCTAGCCAACTTATTTTCATTCCCTTATCACCATGGATACTGTGTTTAATCCTATCACTCCACACACTATCTCTAAAAATTTTTCTGATTTCTCTTCTTCTTCTCTCTACTTGTTATTTGAGTTTTCATATTGAAAAGATTGCATGTTTCTTCCTGCTCTCTCTTCGTGATCTCTTTTAGTGCCTTGATACATACAGATAACCTCGCTGAATACAGAGCTGTGCAACTTGCAAATGTAAAAGAAGTGTCATTCAAGATGCTACATTAAGCATTTAAAACATTTTAAAGCTACACTTTGAAACTAAGGCAGCTAAAATCAAGATGGGAGAAAATCCTTTCATGGTACTAAATTGCTCACAGAGACCTATGGTTGGCTATTACTGGTTTTAAGATTAGAAAATTTGGGTTTCAACTCATAGTCAAAAAAGGTTCATTTTTATAATTCAATTATATCTTTTAAGCTGCTGTATAACTTTTTTTTTCAAGTCTAATCAGAAATTGCTATATTCTGAAAGATCTAACTTATGATTTGGTCCTCAGAAAGTAAGAATGGAAGCTCATGCAAAGTTTGCAGTGCTATGGCATCTCACACGAGACCTTCATATTAACAAGTCTTCTTCCTTTGGCCGTACCTTTGACAGGTTGGTGATTGCAAGTCTGATTCACTTGAAATCAATTTGCTTCAAAATCTTTCACTGTGTTATACTGTCAGCAGAGAGTGCTTAGAAACTGGAGAACTGCAGTGTAGCTGTGAGAGCAAGGAAGGAGGGCAAGAAATGAATTTGTGTTAGACAAAACTGTTTTCACAATGATGATTATGTAAGCTGCAAGTTTTTCTGGAAGCTGTAAAGAGTGGGAAAGGAATGGTCATATGATTCACTGACTATCACTGTGGTTAAAATCACTGTGGTGTATATTGAACATGGTATCTGAGTTCTTGCTGTGTTTTGATAAAAACGAAAGCAGGAGAGAGAGGTCAGTGCAGAAGTGAATTATATGAAATGGAAAGTAACAGTAAAGCTAAGAAAAGGACAAAACTGCAAGGAAGTGCTAAAAGATAAAAATTCTTTTGTTTAGTCGGTGTGTTTCATGTAAGATGTCATGTATGGCAGGCAGCAGAGGACTTCTGGTTTGCACTCTGGTATCAGACTCCATTCTTAGAAACACTGAATCATGCAGACTCTGAATTAGCTCTTGTCTTTCTCAGCTAGCACAAATGTTGTAGAACAGTGTTTATGTAAATTTTCTAATGCATACTTAGTTATAGGATGTGGAGGAAAAAAAGGTTGTTATTTCTTTGTCTTGATACTGTCACTCCCTGCATAAATGGTGATAATTTCTGTACATACAGCGAAGAGCTTATGTGTGTGTACTACTGGAGGATGTAAAACAGTAGGTAAATTCCAGACTTCAATATATATTTTGTTTTTCCCCAAGTCTGAAAAGGATTCTAAAGGATAAAACTGTCAAAAAAAGAAAATAATGATAGTAGGAACTGCTGAATTGTTAAGTATATTTCTTCTCTCCATTCCTGAAGATGAGATCTTTGAATTCGTTTTCTTTTCTTTTCCATGTATCCTTGTGAATTGACTTTGAAAGTGGTGTATTTTTTAACTGTACTAGCACTTACAAGGCAACACAAGCTCCTTATGCTAGTAGGTGTACAAATACTTGAACTGACTATGCAACTGTTACTGTTTGAACAACTGTCTGAACTGGCTTCATTACTAGCTCCTCCTGGCCATTTCTTCATTAGACTAGAGTAAAATATAAAGCTTCAGGTTGCAGAGTTTGGATTACGAAGAAAATACTGGGTTTTTATATGGAGAAAACACTGGAATATGTATTGACCTGTTGAAACCTGTCGTATATCAGATTAAAATGGGATTACTCTGAGAGTAGTGTAGAATTTCTGCTAGATTCATTCTTCTTTCTATTCTAGGTCTTTGTTTATCATGCTGGACAGCCTTAATAGCTTGGATGGTTCTACATGGTCAGTGGGACAAGCCTGGTTAAATCAAGTGCTTCAAAGACATGATATTGCAAGAGTTCTTGAACCTTTGCTCCTACTACTTCTCCATCCAAAAACTCAGCGAGTTTCTGTTCAGCGAGTACAGGCTGAATGTTACTGGACTAAATCTCCCAATCACCCTGAAGAAGAAAATGAAAAGCAGTTCTTGCAGAAGTTTAGCTGTGCTGATGGTATGTACATAAGAAGACCATAGGAAGTTCCTTAATTTCTTTGCTTGTTGTTTACATGCAACATTTAAAACATAGTCAAACGTTTTGAGGGTAACTCAAAACAGGTGCTGGAACAGCTACTTGCTTATATGTGCATTTGTGCATATTTTTACTAATTCAAGTTTGGGTGTCCTAAGTCTCACTGAAGTTTTATTGTTCTCAAATTAAGATGATATGCAAGTATTTTAATGCAGAGCATTTTGTTATGTCTTACTGGGCCTTGGTAGAACTTAAGAATGTGGCTTGAAGCTTAGCTAGGAAATGAAATGCTTTTATGGATTATTGCCACTGGTGTGAGGTTGGCTGAAAACATACTGATAAGGTTTCAAGGTGTTTGCACATATTGTGTAATTTTAGTACCATACTACTAATTCTTTTATTATGAAAACACAAGCAGATTAAACTGCATAATGTTTCATGGGAGAATTATGTTGTTTTGCAAGGGTCTACTGCTAATATAATCTTGCTTAGTTTATGTGAATGTGTGCCATTTGTGTATTAACATATGGTTTTTCTGCTGTGAAGTGAAAAGACACTATTTATCATGCTTTTATATTTTGAAGTCTCAATAATAATCTAAGCTTTAAATTTCAATTCTAAATTCTTATTCTGAAGAACAGAACCTTACGCATATAATTTTTTTGGTGTCTTTCTTTAAGCATTTTCCCATGTGCCCATAAGCCAAGGACAACTTATTATACCTAAAGAAGGCAATGAAAAACAACTTGTTATGGATGAAATGGAGAACTTCAGCCTGACTGTCAACCCTCTGAGTGACAGGCTTTCCTTGTTAAGTACCAGCAGTGAGACCATACCAATGGTTGTGTCTGATTTTGATCTTCCTGACCATCAAGCTGAAATACTGCAGAGTTCTGACTCTGGCTGTTCTCAGTCATCTACTGGAGACAACATCAGTTATGAAGTGGAAACAGAAAGCTTGAGTGCTCAAGATAGTTCTCAGACTCTGAAAGAAGACTCACCTGATGAAATCGTGCAACAAGTGCTTACAGATCTTATCTGCAAAGTTGTAAGTGGACTTGGAGAAGAGGTTGAACCAGTTAAAGATAGTCTACACTCAGAGGATACTTCGTGTGCATTCAGTGCTTTGGATAGCTCTGTAGAGGTGACAAAAAATGAAGATCAAAATATTCAAAGTAGCCAGAGTAGTTTGCTTAGTAATGACAGCTCACAGTTGCTATCAGCCTCAACTGAAACTGGACTTGAGAGCTTAGAAGATGAAATTTCAAGAAATAACTCTTCACCTTGTATTGCAGAAAGCCAGCAATCCTTCTCTGATCTCACTCTTTCTTCCACTGAGTCAAAGCCCAGAAAGCGAAGCCACAGCAGTATTCAGTTCAGCTTTAAAGGAAAGCTACCAGAAAAGATGTCAGAAAAAGAAACAATTGTTAAAGAGGCTGGTAAGCAACCAGGTGCAAAACCTAAGGTGAAAATAGCCAAAAAGAAAGATGAAGAGAAGAAGAAAGCACAAACAGAAAAGCTGAAACAAACAAATGTCTTCTTTAGTGATGGTCTTGATTTAGAAAATTGGTATAGTTGCGGAGAAGGAGAAATATCAGAAATAGAAAGTGATGTGGGATCGCCAGGAATGCGAAAATCTCCTAACTTCAATATCCATCCATTGTATCAGCATGTGCTGCTTTATCTCCAGCTGTATGACTCTTCAAGAACACTGTATGCTTTTTCTGCAATTAAAGCAATTCTGAAAACAAACCCTTCAGCTTTTGTCAGCGCTATCTCCACCACCAGTGTCAACAATGCATACACTCCTCAGCTTTCATTGCTCCAGAATCTTCTAGCCAGGCATCGAATATCTGTCATGGGCAAGGATTTCTATAGTCACATCCCAGTTGATTCTAACCATAACTTTCGGAGCTCTATGTACATAGAAATTCTTATCTCCTTATGTTTATACTACATGCGGAGCCACTATCCAACTCATGTCAAAGTAACCTCACAAGATCTAATAGGAAACCGTAACATGCAAATGATGAGTATAGAAATTCTGACACTTCTCTTTGCTGAGTTGGCAAAAGTGATAGAAAGCTCTGCAAAGGGCTTTCCTAGTTTTATTTCGGACATGTTGTCCAAGTGCAAGGTTCAGAAAGTGATCCTGCATTGTCTGTTGTCTTCGATCTTCAGTGCACAGAAGTGGCACAGTGAAAAGGTAGCTGGCAAAAACATAGTGGCTGTAGAAGAAGGTTTCTCTGAAGACAGCCTTATAAATTTTTCTGAAGATGAATTTGACAATGGCAGTACACTGCAGTCACAGCTTTTAAAAGTACTGCAGCGGCTGATTGTGCTGGAACACAGAGTAATGACTGTGCCTGAGGAAAATGAAACAGGGTTTGACTTTGTCATAACGGACTTGGAGCACATTGGTCCCCAGCAGCCCATGACTTCTCTTCAGTATTTACATTCCCAGCCAATAACCTGCCAAGGCATGTTTCTCTGCGCAGTGATACGAGCTCTACACCAGCACTGTGCCTGTAAAATGCATCCCCAGTGGATTGGCCTTATCACTTCTACGTTGCCTTACATGGGAAAAGTTCTTCAAAGAGTGGTTGTTTCAGTGACTCTTCAGCTCTGCAGGAACTTGGATAATTTAATTCTGCAGTATAAATACGAAACAGGGTTATCTGATAATAGGTATGTGCATGTAGAGGCAGATAATCTTTTTAAGTACGTTTGATTGTGCTCAATTATTTTACCATCAGATTAAGCCATTTTTAAAAAATGAATCTCTTCTTTTAGGCCTCTCTGGATGGCATCAGTCACTCCCCCAGACATGGTTCTTACTTTATTAGAAGGGATCACAACTATAATTCATTACTGCCTCCTGGATCCTTCTACACAGTATCATCAGGTAAATTTATCTAGGTGTCTGAGGCTCTTGTGCAGTACATGTCAACTTAAGGACTGTGATTATATTAGCAGTTATGAAGATCTGAGTGGGGAAAAATACCAAACCTATTGTCTTAGCTGTAAGTATGTTTTTTGTGGATAATGTGCATATCTCAAGCAGAAAACCAATTTTCTATGAATTATACTTTTAAGAGAATACTCTTAATTTAATACTCTAATTGATTTGTTTGCTTGTTTTGTTCGGTTGTTTTTTTGTTACTCTGAAATAACTAAAGTACGAACTCCTTGACTTTCAGACCTGTTACTTTCTGTCTGGACTGTGTTCATCTTGCAATATGTCAAAACATTCTTTCTCATCGTCCTGTATATTTACAATTTGTCTCTTTAAGTTAGGCAGTATTTTTAGATCTGATATTCTGAGCATAATCTCTGTTAAGATTTTGGCTCAGATTCTGTAAGAAGCTTTTGCCCTGCTCTCTTCATAGTCTTATTTTTGCTGTTTTTCCTAATCTTATACCCCTTTGCCTTCCATTCATTTGAAAATGACTGAAAAATGGATTTTGTTTGTGTAAGTAAATAATTTTGCCGAGGATATTAGTTACACTTAAAATTCTGTTTTGCAGAGGTATGGGCAGATGATATAAAATTGATTTCTGTAGACAGGAGGCCCTACAGTTTCAGAATACATTTGATATTGTAAATTGAGTCAAAAGATTCTTTAACTGCTATTTCGATAGATTTAAAGCCTGTACACACTCTAAGAATTGTTGAAAAACTGTTTTGAAAAGGAGTTAAGGTTGAAAGCTCCCAGTCAGTTAAATCTCATTCTACACTCTTGTAATTATGCTCCCCTTCTCTCCCCTCCCAATCCCCCAGCTTCTGGTTAATGTAGATCAGAAGCACTTGGTTGAAGCACGCAATGGGATCCTCTCTATCCTGCATATGATCATGTCTTCTGTGACTTTGCTGTGGAGCATCCTTCACCTTGCAGATTCTTCAGAGAAAGCTACTGCTGCTGCTGCTGCATCCATCACCACGATTAATCTTGGGTCAACAAAGGTCAGAACATCAGGGATAATATAATTTATGTTGTTCATTAATACCTTTGTCAAAATAATTTTAATTCCATTCCTTTGAATCTAAATTAGTTTTAATATCTTTGTCCTCATCTACGCACTCACCCCACAAACAAGGCTTTTATAAATGGGCATTGAATCTGCTTTTAAACTTGAATATATCAGTTCAAGGAAACAATCTCTGTTTTCTGCAAAGATTAAATCCATCCTGAAAATATTGAAGCCATCCTTTTACACCTCAAAAATACACAATATTAATGTAAAATCTTAACAAAAGAGAGCTCTCCTCTTAAAACATCTTCATACTACATAAGTACACTTATGAACTAGCTCCTTTATTCATTCAGTTCCCATTCAGTGATGTCACTGCATGGGGAAATGTCATAGCAGCTGGTGAACTTGCAATCATAGAGAAGAGAACCTGAGAAGGGGTCAAATAAGACTATACTGAGAATGCTGCCTCACACACCTATCAGTTCAAACTTCTTATATTTCATGCTATTAAATGGGAAAACTTCATTTAAAATTGAAATGTTTGAAAGTAAGATTTCCTCAGTTAATACTCTCAGATATTGTTTGTGATGATGCTGTTACGTCCTTTGCAACCTTTGTCATTCAGGCTGAAGGAATAAAAGATAACTTTTCTAAGACTGTCTTTGCACAGACAAGAAAGCTGGAGAGAGACTATTTACAAGGGCATATAGTGACAGGATAAAAGGGAATGGCTTCAAACTGAAAGAGTTTAGGTTTGGACTAGATACTGGAAAGAAGTTCTTTACTGTGAGGATGGTGAGGCACTGGCACAGGTTGCCCAGAGAGGTTGTGGTTGCCCTATCCCTGGGAGTGTTCCAGACCAGGTTGGATGGGGCTCTGAGCAACCTGGGCTGGTGGGAGGTGTCCCTGCCCATGGCACAGGGGTTGGAACTAGATGGTCTTTAAGGTCCCTTCCAACTCAGGCTATTCTATGATTCAGTCACAATATTTGTGTTGCCCATAGTGATTCCTCCTCACTGAAAGAAAGGCAGCATGTACTTGTTGATGTGAAAAAAAGATAACCTTTTGTACTCTGGTTAAACATTGTCTTCTGTACCTCCCAACTTTTCTTTCATTTACCTGAATCTGTATTATTCAAGAGATTACTCAGCATGTCCTATAGATGAAAAAGTCCAGTTTGCATTCAGTTTATTTGATGTAATATTTCATTTTCATAGAAGTTAGTGGTAGTTGCCATTCACGGATCATCTTGTAGCTAGCTGGTTTGAACATAATGCTGAGGTGCTTATCTGAAGGCGTTCGTGTTCTGCTCTCACATTTCAGAATTTGAGGCAGCAGATCCTGGAACTTTTGGGTCCAATTTCAATGAATCACGGTGTTCACTTCATGGCTGCTATTGCATTCGTATGGAATGAAAGGAGGCAAAACAAAAATACTTCTAGGACAAAGGTATGTTTATACTACAGTGGTCACTTCAAATCGTGGTAATAGCTTTAAATGGTTTAGAAGCAGGAAGGAGAAAATTCAGACATTCTAACAGAAAAAATACAATGAAATATGGAAAATATTTATTTTCCTAATTAGCAGCTATACTGTCAGGGGTCTACCAGTTTATTTTAGAATAGCATAATCTTCCTGAGTTCTTCAGGAGAAGAATAAGTGATACCAAGTCTGTAGATGATTTGTTAGTTACTAACATTTCAACTCCATGAGACCAGCTGCTTTAATTTTGGCATGGCCATTGTTTTTAATGATAATCTGTGATATAATTTGATTCTTTTAGGTTATACCTACAGCAGGTGAAGAACAACTTCTGCTGGTTGAGCTGGTTCGCTCTATCAGTGTTATGAGAACAGAGACTGTTATACAAACAGTGAAAGAGGTTTTGAAGCAGCCTCCAGCCATAGCAAAGGACAAGGTATGAGAACTGTAGAGGTGCTATACTTTTTTTAATGTCCTCTTACTGAAGTTTAGAACACTGATGATGCAGGCACTCCAGTCACACACAAAGAGTGTGAATGTGAGCATTTTTACAATACCTAATAGCTGGGTGAAAAGAAGAATAACTTTACAGAAAAATCTCTAAATGGACATTTATAATACTCTAATGAGCTAAACTGTATCTTTAGACATAATAGTGACATTAGAACATTGTCAGTTTTGCCCTGGCAAGTGGGGGAAAAATAATTCACTTTCTTCTTCCTGATGATACAGATTTTGTGTCTTTTTCTAGAAGCATCTTTCACTGGAAGTCTGCATGTTGCAGTTTTTCTATGCTTATACTCAAAGGTAAGAAAAGAAGTCAAATTTTATTTGTCATCAAAAAGCAGATGGACAATTTGAATATTTTACAGCTTTTTCTGATCCCCATGATGAGAAGTAACCTGTGTAATATAAATAGAGAAGAAAAAATGGTTTTGAACTGTAGGGATCATAAAAAAGAAAGCAATTTAGTTTGTGAGTTCCCTAGTTCTGCATCACCTTCTTCCCCCACCTATAAATCCTGCAGATGATCTGCCCCCTGCCCAAGGAAAGCTGATCTTAATTATACTGTAACTCATTGGTATCACTCCAACCTTGGACTGAAAAACATGTATATTGAGTATATATTTTTGTCTGCATTACTCTGTTTCTCAATGACTTGTTCGAGCAACCTAATATTAAATGAAAACTCAATCAATCTGTCAGAATGTTGATTCACAATGTCTGACAGGAGAATTGTGAGGTAGAAAGAAAATGGGGGAATACCTGAGGGAGATGATTGACATTGACATTGCTGCTTTCTCTCTTAGGATTCCAGTGACCAGCTTAGTGGACAGCTGGGCAGCACTGCTGCTTCTGTTGAAAGATTCCATCCAGGTTGGTCTTCCAGCTCCAGGACAATTCCTCATACTTGGGTAAGTGCTCTTGTTATTTGCAGTTTCCAAATAAGCTCAAATAGTGTAAGCATGTGAAATCATACTGAAGTGTTAGTGTTTTCAAGTCTCTGTCACTTCCTTTTGACTGGGAGAGGTATTGCCTGAGTTCTGTGGGTCTTATCAAATCAGTTTTTTCTCTGAGGAATGGTTATATGTGTTAAATTTCATGCTATAGTATGACATAAGCCATTATCTTACCTTACAGGTTGAGTGATTCAGTCTGTTTAAGCAGCAGGTTTAAAGTTTTTGATTTTTCTTTGAAAATAACTACAGTGACTATTAGGTATGTGTAGATTTGCAGCCCACTAAAATGGATTCATTTTCAGCCTGAAAGAAGTTTGTGGAGTGTTAGAAATAAAATGTTGACTATTATTTTCTATATAAAGCTTCAAGGGTCATTTTTTTGAATATTTTTAATTTATCTTCCCTAATAAACTGTCTCTAGAGATACTTTTGTGTATAATCAAGTAAAGTGTGTTCTTGGTAAACTCTTATGATATGATAAAAATCAACTTAAAGAACTTAAAAGATGTTTTCTGGAATGTTGATAAGTAGCAATCACTGATGGTTTAGTAAATAAGTATCCTGCAAATAAATTTCTTCAGATTTGTCCTAACTCTTAAAATTACTGAATAATGTATTATGAGAAGAAAATCCATATTAACTTCTATACTTTTTCAGTGTTCTTAATGAATTCATCATGAAAAACCCAAGTCTGGAGAACAAGAAAGATCAAAGAGATCTCCAGGTAAGAAATTTTTGTCTTTTGAAAATACTGAACAATGCATTCTTCAATGTATTGTATAATATCAGTTCTGTAGTCTGAAATGACTCTCTAGTATCTTCCACTTGGTGCTATTTATAATCTGTTGAAAAAGAACTTTTTCTGTGGAGCTATTAATCACTGATAACACAGAACAGCAGTGATTTGAAAGCAGTTCTATATTTGTTTAGGTAGATTTTCTACAAAAACATGTCAGGACAACAAATACAGCCCTCCTGCACAGACTTCTTGGAATGATTGGGGTTTTTTTTTCCTACCAGGATGTAACACACAAGATAGTGGATGCCATTGGGGCAATTGCTGGTTCTTCCTTGGAACAGACTACTTGGCTCAGACGAAATTTAGAGGTTAAACCTTCCCCCAAGATTATGGTTGATGGAAACAACTTAGAATCAGATGTTGAAGGTAGTTTCATTTTTCATCTTTATTTTAAGAAAAAACACAGTAATTATCAGGCCAAAATTAACAAAAATGAGAGTTTTGCTATATTTGAATACATTAAAAATGCTTCAGTATTGTTCCAGCATTAGTATCTTACAAATCATATCTGGCAAAGTTTGGGCATCTTCACAATCTGTTTTTAAAATATGCTGTAAGGTCAATAATGGCTTAAGAAAACTAACTTTGGACTTTGTTTTTATTATTATCTTCATTTAGATATGTTGTCTCCAGCAATGGAAACTTCAAATATAACTCCATCTGTTTACAGTGTCCATGCATTGACTTTACTTTCTGAGGTAAATGTCTCCTCAGATGTAATAAATACTGTCTTATAATAGATTTCTCTGTAGTGAAAGCTTTGGACTAGAAGCTTGGGGAAGGAGATTTGATGGGTTTCACTGATGTGAATGGATTCTGGGTCCTGTCATGTGCAAATATAAAGATTCAGTGAGATGGATGAGGCATAAAGGCCTTTCAGATATGTAGCATAGAAAAGTTTTTTGATGGCAAACTCTGTGTTATTAGTCATATATGTTATTTACTGCTGATAATTGCAGTCAGTCTTTGAATTCTGTAGAATGCTTTGCTTATGCTTCTGTGTTTTCACCTTAATTTGTTTTAAAATTTATGCTATCTTTATAGTCTGGATTTTATATGGTTCCTGACATTTGAGCACTTCTATCATAAACTTGCATGTTCTGTAAAGGGCATTATACATAAAAGTGCTGAGGAGTAGATAAAAAGAAATTTGAGAATGCATGATAATATATCTTCCTCTCCTTTTATAGGTCTTGGCTCATCTCTTGGATATGGTTTTCTACAGTGATGAAAAAGAGAGGGTTATTCCTTTGCTTGTAAATATTATGCACTATGTTGTGCCCTACCTCCGTAATCACAGGTATCTTTACACTTTATTGAATTGATGTAGATCTCTACAGCCAGTTGGAATCTGGAGGGTGGCACTTCAGTTGAAATAGGCATGATAAGGATTTGATATTTATCAAACTTTCTATAAAACAACAATTCAAAATTGTTTCATCTTGACTTTGGTTTTGTTCAGTGCTCACAATGCATCCAGCTATCGAGCCTGTGTCCAGTTACTAAGCAGTCTTAGTGGGTACCAGTATACAAGAAGAGCATGGAAAAAGGAAGCATTTGACCTCTTTATGGATCCCAGTTTCTTCCAGATGGATGCTTCATGTGTTAACCAGTAAGACTTTCTATTTCCTGCTTATATTGATGGCCCTTAAAATTTTATGCTTACATGTGGACCAAAATTTCCCAACAGGTCTCTATTGAGAGAAAAAGAGAGAGATATTCTGTGGTTTAGATTGCCATGTGAAAAGTCTGAAACTTAAGGCTTATTTCTATACACAAACCTATTGTAAAAAAGAATAATCTTGAAATTGAAAAATTAATTTTTTCTATGAGGAAAAAGTGGTTAACATTTTGTAGAATCATAGAGACCTTAAAGGTCATCTAGTCCCCACTCCTCTGCCATGGGCAGGGATACCTCCCACCAGCCCAGGTTGCTCAGAGCCCCATCCAACCTGGCCTTGGAAACTTCCAGGGTTGGGGCATCCACAGCTTGTCTGGGCAACCTGTGCCAGTGCCTCACCACCCTCACAGGAAAGAATTTATTCCTAATATTTAATCTACATCTGCCATCTTTCTGTTTAGAGACATTATCCCTTTTTCTGTCACTACATGCCCTTGTACAAAGTCCCTCTCCAGCTCTCTTGTAGGCCCCTTTAGGGGCTATAAGGTCTCCCTGAAGCCTTCTCTCCCTGAACCCCAACTCTCTCAGCCTGTTTTCATAGGAGAGGTGCTCCAGCCTTCTGGTCATTTTTGTGGTCTTCCCCTGGACCCACTCAAACAGGCCCATGTCTGTCTTATGCTGGGGGTCCCAGAGCTGAGCACAGTGCTGTAGGTGGGGTCTCACCAGAGCAGAGTAGAGGGGCAGAATCACTACTGGTGATGCAGCCCAGGATGTGATTGTCATTCTGGGCTGTGAATCTGCACTGCTAGCTCAAATTCAGTTTTTCATCCACTAACAGCCCCAAGTCACTCTCCCCATGGCTGCTCTCAATCCATTTTCTGCCCAGCCTGTAGCTGTGCTCTGAATTGCTCTCACCCAGGTGCAGGACCTTGCACTTGGCCTTGTTGAACTTGATGAGGTTCACACAGACCCACCTGGTCCCTCTTGCTTTGACAACCATGTCCTCAAAGGAAATAAGGGATGCCTCCAGTCCCTCTGGATGGCATCCCTTATTTTCTTTGAGAAGGGGGTTCAAGAAATATAATTTCAGATCCAGTTGCACCAAATAAATGGTACGTGTAAAGCAGAGGGCTTGGATTGGAAGTCATAGCCTGAATTAAGAGGGCAGAAAAAGCTCTGGAAATATTCCTGGAAATTCTTGCTTTTTTGTGGTATTTCTGATTTGTGTACAATTTTCCTCTTTCAGTTGGAGAGCTATTATGGATAATTTGATGACACATGACAAGACCACATTCAGAGATTTGATGAGTAAGTATTTATTGATGTAGTAGTGACTTTTCTCCAATATAAATGTTAAATAAATGGAAAACAAATATCTTGAAGAAAGAATTTTTTCAACGTTTATTCCAATTTGTTTGATTTATTCAATGTTTCTCATGTTTTCTTCAACAATTTCTTTCTGGAGATCCATAAATAAGATCACTCAAAGTGAGATAATTCGGGACCATCTTGGCACACAGCAAATTTTGCCTGTATGGCAAAGTTGATTAAGCAGGATGGGTTGAGGTGGATTTATTGGCTTTTGGTTTGTTGATTTGGTTTGGTTTATATTTTTTAAAGATCTGACACTCCCTCTGCTTGAAAAGAATCTATTCTGCACATTCAAAACTTCTGAGCATCTATACTGGCAAATTTTGTTTCAAAAAAAAGGCTAAACTCCCTCCCAAAAACCTCCAAACTCAAGCACTATTCTGTATGCTTAAAAGTTTCAACATGTATTTTAAATCGCTGTGGTTAAAAATACAAATCGCAGGGCATGAATCTTCTTAACATCTGCTTTCAAACTCCGTTAATGCAATGAAAATAAGAGTTATTTGTGCCTTAAAGTGAAACAGAAAGGACATTTTTAAGTTCTTTGCCTTTTGTGTTTCAGCACGAGTGGCTGTGGCTCAGAGCAGTTCCCTCAATCTGTTTGCCAACCGAGACGCTGAGCTGGAGCAGCGCGCTATGCTCCTCAAGAGACTCGCCTTCGCAATTTTCAGCAGCGAGATAGACCAGTACCAGAAATACCTGCCAGACATACAAGGTCAGTAAAAATGTATCATTTAGGGGACTTCTGGACTGTGCTGCTACCTGTGGAATATTTGTAGCACAGAGTGGCAGCAGGTAAATTTGCCCCCTGGAATATCCACACATGGTGCTGTCTCCATGGCTGGAATAAAGATTTGGTAGACTTTAGTTAGAGTGTTCTCAGTCTTAAATGACTACAAACTGTGCAGACTTGGTGATTACTAGTTGACTTTTATCCAGATTATTTCACTGATCTGTCATTTTATACCTTGATCAATGTCCTTGGACACCTGAATGATACATTTTGACATAAACATCCAAGGTATAAACACCTATTAACTAGGGATAAATAGAAAGACTGACCTTGAAGTTTTGAATTCTTGACTTCTCTGTTTTTTCTGCTGTTCTGTTTATCTGTCCTATTTATCACTGAAGTTTCTCTCTTACAGTGACCTGCTTGGGTTTATTTCAAGGTGATGCACTTAGTTACACAGCAATTTCTAGATATATAGTCTTTTTGTGCTACCAAGGTGAACACTTTGGTCTCCTCTTCCATTAAGTGCATCATCTTTCTTGTTTCATTTATTCCAGGATCTATTTTTTTCAAGTTGTTTTGTTTTTGGTTTTTTTTTTTTTAATTCCCAGTCAAGTCAGTAGTTGGGATTTACTATGTATCAGGTGGTTTTACTAGTCTGAACTGCAATGTGCACGTGTGCTGGTGTGGCTGAAAATTTTCAGTATGTATCTCCCTCTGTGTATGTTCAGTTCTTAGAGGTGATTATAGCTAAGTAAGACTGTATCACCCCTGTGTAATTTCCCATGCACTATGATGTTGCAGCCTTTTAATAATAACGTTACACCATAGCTGTGCAGGCTGTTGATGTATTGTTTGGTATCTGTTCACTTCTCTTGTTGTAATGGGTGAAACTCTGCATAAGAAGAGCAAAGCTCAAAGCTCCCATATGTACTATTGCATTTATGTGGAGATCTTAACCAAAACATGCAACTGCACTGTTTTGAGGTTTCTTTCTTTTGTTCCCTCCATGGTGAAAGTGGTTATTTTTGGACGTTGACAGAGTAAAACTGTAGTAAAGTAGTGAAATAGTAACATGGCAGTTACTCCCAATGTTATCTTTTTTTAGTGAGAGAAAGAGACGATGCTGCTTGGAATTATTCTGAACTGAGAAACCCTTCTTGGCTTTTTGTTTCAGAAAGGCTGGTAGAAAGTCTCCGGTTGCCACAGGTGCCCACCCTTCATTCCCAAGTGTTCCTGTTTTTCAGAGTATTGCTTTTAAGAATGTCTCCACAGCACCTTACCTCCCTTTGGCCAACCATGATCACTGAACTGGTGAGTTGCAGTTAGCATTCATGATTTGGAAGACTGGTGCACTATTTTGAGACACAATCTCATTCCTCCTCAACATTTTAAAGAAAATCTCTTCTAGAGAGTCTGCATGTAAATGTACAATGGACACAAGCTGAAAGATGCTTATTTTCATAGTACTGATGGCTGTTTTTTGCAACCAGATAGAATATCTGTTATGCTATTTAAGCTGTTCAGTTTTCTCTTGAACTCAGTTTTCATTTGCCTTCATTGTTCTCTACTGACTCCAATTTCTGTATCCTCTCCACCATTCCTACTCCTGCTCTTCTTTCTCAGTGTTCTGTTTCTACTTAACTGGTCATTCAGCCTTCTACCTCTGGCAATGGGAAGGAGAACTCATTTAAAGAAGGAGTTGGAATCCATGTTGTATTGGCAGTTGATGGTCATTCAGATCACATTGTGGCTAAATTTTGTGACTGGATTTATACTCAGCTTTTTTCTTTCTCTGGTTTTATTCTGCATAACAAGACATAAACATCTGTTTTCAGAGCTGCTATGTGTGGAGTCTCCAGTGTTGGCTGGAGTTGTCACACTCCTTTGGATTTTCAGCTTTGGCAGTGGGAATGGAGGAGAGTGGTTGGTGCATCCTGTGATCCATTTAGCCTGTTATCCAAGGAGTTCCCAAGGGACTGGCTAACACAGATAGGAAATCAAAATCATTACTGTGATTTATTTTTTTAATCTGCAGGTCCCTAACCTAGCCCTTGGTTACCCACAGATCTAAGCAATAGAAGGAGAAAAGCTACATAAAGAATTTTAAAGATGAAGTGTGTTGTTTTAGCAGTAGATGAATTTAATTTTAAGCCTGTAATTGTATAAATATTAAGAAACCCATTCTATTCAGTGTGGCCTTCTGATTCCTGTGCTGTCCCCTGGCCTTTATAAAAGTTACCTGGAACTACTTTTAGTGGACAGGACCATATTACTTCTGGGAATTTGCACCTGAGCTTGCCTGCTCTGTTAAATTATTCTTATCTCTCATTTCCTTTGTGTCTTGCTCTCTTTCTAAGTAGTGGAGGAGGTTAGATTCTGAGAGCCTTCCTGGCCATAAAAGAGCCAGTTTCTTCTGGCCTGTGTGCTACTGAGGCTGCATATCAGGGATCAAGGAGCTTTAGAGTGTCAGTGTCCACTCATCTTTCAGGGGTTTATTTCATCATCTGGGCAGGGAAATAAAGCTCCAAACATTTTGTCTAAGGCTTATTACTCAAGCCCCCCTATAGTGTTTTCCTGAGTCACATTCCATAAAAAATGGTATTAAAATGTAGCATTTGATCTTCAGGTACAAGTGTTTTTACTGATGGAACAAGAGCTCACTGCTGATGAAGACATTTCCAGGTAAACTTACGAACTTCCCACTTGTGTAACTTGATAAGTCCCTTGGCATGCTGATGGGCAGTTGAGTCATTCTTGAGAATAATTTATCTTGGAAAGCATTGTGGAGCTCAAATGAGAAGGACAAGTAAAGGGTAGTTCTGTCTCACTGCAGCACCAGGCACATAGAAAACAAGTCCCCCTGCCAGATTGCTCACAAATCACTAAAGAATATTATGCAGTAGAAGTGTGTGAGCTCTTACAGTATCAGAGACTGACGTACTTTTTTTCTCTAAATAAAAGCATTTCTTCTAGTATTAGATAGATGTAAAATGAGGTAGGTATTTTTTTTTATTTCATTATCCATTTTTATCCCAACTGCCTTATGCATAGTGTGACCCAATTTCAGTCAATGCTAGTAGTTAGAGTCAGATTTCTCAAATGAGCCAGAGTTATTTGCCCAACTCTTGTCCACTTTTTTCCCTAAGTTCTCATTGTTTATTTGAAGATTTTTCCCCTTGAATAAAGTAATGTTGGCAACTGGCGACTTCAAACTTTCTCTTAATTTAGGTGTCTGATGGGAATAAGATACAGTGCAACACATTCATTATCCATTAACACTTTATCACACATACATATGCATACAGAACTCTACCCATAGCACAGACTTGCAGTGTTCTGGTTTGATTTATGGATCTGAATACCATTAAGCTGGTAAATAAAGAGTTGTGTGTTTGTAAAGGCAAGTACGAAAGATGAAGTTTTCATTGTGGCAGAAGGTTGTTATGACTCACCTGCCTACTATAATTTATTTTAGAACTTCTGGCCCATCTGTTGCTGGTCTGGAGACAACGTACACAGGTGGCAATGGTTTCTCCACGTCCTACAACAGCCAGAGGTGGCTGAACCTGTATTTGTCTGCTTGCAAATTTCTGGACTTGGCCCTAGCTTTACCATCTGAAAACCTGCCTCAGTTTCAGATGTGAGTATAGGACACTGTCATTTAAGGGTTTGGGTGTTTGTCCATGCCTCTTGGTAAAATTCAGGTGTATAAAAATCTGCTTTCCTGTTTCCTTTCTTTCTCTGGCTTTCACCCAGGGCAGGCCATAGTTTGTTCCTTCACAGTGTCTGAGTGGCCATCAGGGCAAATGATGCTGCACATCAAATTAGTTCAAGCTGGTTTATTTTAGCCTATGGCAAGAGATTCTCCACACTCGTGAGCTAATCAGTAGTAGCTGTTTATTCAAGTATTTTATTTTTAAAGTACTTAGTTCTTAGGCATTACTGCAATTCAAAATGCACTCCCACATCTCAGTGACTAATGCCTGAAATCAGAGGACTGCATGTCATCTCAGTATGACTCACTTAAATTTCTCCTGCACGATCTGCCTGGAAGATGTTGCAACAAACCTGATTAAACAGGAGACCCTATAGGTTTTTCTTGGTCAGTACCATTCACATGTGCAAACTGCCTCTGCAATCCCTTTCTGTTGGAATAACATGAATGCAAAACCACTGGTCACTGAAGACCCTGGAAATGAGAGGCCACCAAGGACAAAGGAAAGTATCTTGTCTCTTCCTTTACACTGCACTGCACCATGGTGATTGTGTGAGAGCTGCAGCCCTGGCAAAGCTCTGCAGACATTTCATCACCCCTAATTATCTTCTTCTTTAAAAATGCACCTGTGGGCTGGAGGGCAGGAAGGACTTGCTCACCCTGTGTCAGTTCATGCCCTGTGTATTTCTAAATCTGAAGCTTAATCTTGAAGGGTCCTTCATTTATTTTATTTTTCTGGGGATTTGGCTCATAATTTGTGTCCAGTTCTCCAAACTGTCCTAATCCCTGTTATTAGCCCACCTAGTTTTATTTAGGTCATTACTGTGCATTTCTAGAAAGACAATAGTCATGCTGAATCACACTGTTTTTTTCATGGAGGCTTGGATTGAAGTTTTAAGGACAGAAACTTTGATTTCTTTTATAGTTTATGATACAAGTAGTCAGTCCTTGAAGTGCAGCAAGGTGCAGGTGATAGAATGGTCCACTTGGTCTTGTTGGCCTATGAGTAGGTGAAATAAAGGGATTTCTGTTATCAGTATGGTTTGTTGAAAACATTTTGTGAGTATGCATTGCAAATGTGCAGCAAATGTTTTTAAAGTGACCTGTGTATTTTATCATTCAGAAATGTTGTAAATACTACTGGTTTTAGCTTCTCTGCCTTATCTTCCTCTTGGCATCCTTAAATAATATAGGAAAAAGACAAAGCCATGTTACCTCCTGCTTTTCAGAATGTGCCTTTCCTATTCTTTCTTGTCAAACACTAATGTTGTCTTGTGGTGGTTGATGCTTCACTAGATCTTTCTGTGATATTCACTAGATTTCCTCATCCACTCATATTTTTAGATCCAGCAGAGGAGTTTGCATGTTCAGTAAGGATAATGTCTGCTTGTGTTATCTCATGACAGGTATCGTTGGGCTTTTATTCCAGAAGCATCAGATGATTCAGGCTTGGAAGTAAGAAGACAAGGTACACACCAGAGGGAATTCAAACCGTACGTGGTGCGTCTGGCAAAGCTGCTGCGAAAAAAGGCAAAGGTATGTTCCTTTCTGCCAGTTTCACTTTCCATTGAAAAGTGTCATGTCCAATAACTCACAGCAGTGCTTCAGTTTGGATATTTAATTTTTTTTTTTTAAATAATGAAGAACAGAAAGGACTTTATCTGGTGTGGGAGATTTCTACTGGAGTAATATCGAGTTAGCATCAGGCAAAAAACACATGTAGGTACATCCCAGAGCCCAAACCAAACAAAAAAAAGCCCCACCCAAACCAAACAGACAACAGGAAAAAAACCCAAAGCTTCTATGGTAAAAAAGATTATGGTCAGTGACTTTGGATTTTCCAATTAGAAGTATCATTTGAGTAAAAAATAAAATATGCTTCAATATCTAAGGTATTTTAACATAAAATCACTTTCAGATAGCCAGTCATATATGTAGATAACACTCTACCTACCTACCTATGTACCTACCTACCTTTTGAAGTATAGAAAAGCATTTTTATTAATAATAATCACATTTAAATACTTAGAAAACTGTTGCAGTCCTAAACATGACAGAACCAAGAGTAGTGAGACAGTGCCAGGGGGACAGGAGTGGGTGGGTTTCTTCCCTGAAGCTGCTACAATGAATGGAAGAAGGCAGAGATCAGTAGGAACAGTTTGGGGAAATCTTGGCTGAACAGTTTGTAGCGTGGGAGCAGGATTAGGGCTGTCATTATATTGGGGTGTGAGGTGTATTAATACCCCCAGTCTGAGTGGGGCAGAGAGGCCTCAACCACTAATGAAGCTGATGGAAACTGTCCAAGTCCTGTCCCACAGAGATACCTTCTGCTGCCACAAAGAACATTGCTGTCAGGTACTTTGCTGCTCCTGCTGTGAGGGTAGAGACCCCTGGGCAGGCATTTCACTGGGAAAGGTTGCTGGGTGGGCCAGGGAAGCAGGGAGGAAGTGCAAAGCCACGTGGGAGAAAGCTTTGAAGTTTTATTCTCAGGTTTCCCTCTGAATGGATGGTATTGTCAGGGCTGTGACACTTGCTACAGCCACTTGGTAGTGACACTTGTCAGCTGGCTGTAGCTGCTGCATTCACAGTCTCTAATGAATGTTTTCACTGTAAAGAAACTACTGCCGAGATGCAAGTGGCTACATAAAATTTGGGGATAACTTAGTTGCAGGCAGATCTGAGCTGTTCAAGGAAGACTGTAACTATAGGGGATAAAACAGGTATCTGAAACACATCTGCATTCTTCATTTTCTCATTTTTGAACCATGAAGATGAGACTAAATTTCTCTTCTCACATGTATAAAGGAATAATCAGTTTTCACAGGCTGCTCATCAGCCTCTGATGTGCAGTGCAGTATGCTCTGTCTGTTAGAAAGCTCTCATGCTCCAAGTGATCTCTCTGCATGAATTACAAGTCACATATGATGTATCAAATAGACATGCTGCTGGTAAGTACTGTGTGTTCAGATAGATGCCTGAGGTCAGGACTTCCACAGTATGCTTCAAGAACATAGTAAACTTCCTGGAATTTCTGGAACCCCCTAGTCATGGCAGCAGTTGCACACTGAACTGTAGGTAGGTGTATGATTATGAGATAAACATGAGGTAATGAATATTCACTTCAGGCCGTTTCTTCTTTATGCAGGGGAGAATCCTATTGCATATAGCTGTGAGTTTTTCCTAGAAAAGAACTGTTTCTGAGCAAAATGGAGTGAATCTAAATTTTCTTCCAGGATAAGCACTCTGACTAATGCTTAAATTCATGTAGTGCAGTGTTTCTCAGGCTCTGTTGTCTGAGGGAAATGTGCTTAAAAACATCCTTCAGCACTGCTGGGAATTAACAGAAGAACAAACTGTCAGTGCTGGTTTTGTCTAATAGTGTCTTGGCCACATGAGCTCAAGTCTGCCCTTTCTGGATTGTAGACTCTTTGGGGTGGGTGACTTTTGTAGCTGAAGCACAGCACCCAACCAAGCAACTGCACGGCCTTCACGGCAAAGTGTTGTTTTCATATATGAAATGCAGTCTGAAAGTTCTCCTCTTTCCTTCCACAGGACAAGCAGGAGGACTTTAAGGCGGTGGTTTTGGAGGGAGTGGAGATGGCCAAGCATCAGGTGAGGGTGGCCTTTGATGCTTGAGTTGTGAAACAAGCTCACCATAATTAATACCATCACCTCAAGGCCCTGGGCAGTATTTAGCTTTCATTAAGAACTGAGAGAGATCAGAATTGTTATAGAACAAAGCTGAGAGATCTTTGAAGTGAAAGAATCCATGAGGATCCTGATTTCTATAGATAATATAAGAAACATTTTTAAGTCGGTTTCCTACATGAAACAGATTACAAAAAGCAAATGTTAGTTCCAAGAAGAATTATGATTGTATAAAATTACATTATAAAATAGTTTTTGTGAAACACACAATCCCTCATTAGTCTCTGTCAAATTAATTGTTGCTTTAAGGATCTGTGGAATTGATTTTTTCCATTTTCTGTTTCAGTGTGAGCTTTTCTGTAGAGCTAGAATAGTGATCTCCTGTGGTGGGGAGCCAGACCACCAGATTAAAATATGAAATACCTTCATACTGAGTTTTAACCTGACTGGGTTTTGTGAAATAAATGCCATGCAGGCTCCTGGACTGCAGGACAGTTGCTTGACTTAAAGGACAAAACCTGTATTTGCTAAACTATTATCTCTTGAAGAAAACATGTTTTCTCAAAGTCTGTGCAATCAGTAATCCTTATCTTATGCTCTGATTCCACTGCTCTTTCCACTTCATTCTCCTCTCATTACCAAGCCTGTTCTGCAGGAGCTCTGCAACCTGCAGGGGTCTTAGACCTCAGCCACAGGCACTGCCAGGGCAGTGGGACAGAGGTGGATCAGGAGGTGGCTCTCATTGGTGGGGCCTACGTGCTTCTTTTGTCCTTCCTCACAAAATAAAATCCAGTATTGCTGGAATTCTGCTTCATGGCAGAAGCTCTCCTGTACTGGTTTGTCAGTAACACTACAAACAAAGGTGCTTCTAGTGGTGATGGTACCTTCTTGTTTAGATTTGAATATGTTTTTTGACTCAGAGGAAAAGGAAAGGAGTGAAGACTATCATCTAAGAACCTGGATGTTGGTGCTTGGGTATTTCAGTATGCAGATATTTAAGGCAACCCTAAAGAGGGTTGCAGCAGTGTGGTGACACTGCATCTGGTGTGTGACTGCTGCCTTTGCTTGTGGGGTTCCCGAAATTCTCTCCCTTGAGATTCCCTGCATGAAATGGAAGGAGTGTAACTGTGCTGTTCTGAGAACATGCAATGACTAACTGAGCCATTTTCCTTTGAGGACAGCTTCAGGTGTTTCTCAGAACCTCCAAGTGTGTTATTTCTTATACTAAAACCCACATTGCTTTTGCTCTTCCTGAAAACTCTGAGCTCTAGCTGCAAAGTAGAAAAGCTTCATATCTATTTTAACTTCCTCTGGGGTCTGTCATCACTGACGCTGGCAGCAGGGTGAGGTGTGAGTGTCACTGGAGAGGAGCCTGCTTTGGAAAGCAGCTGAGGTAGCTCACAACTTCACCAGCTCAGGCCCTTTGGGTTAGTGCTCGTGGTGCTGCACCACAGCAGCTCTGCAGGGCAGGGCAGTGGGTGCTGCCTTGCCTTGGGACAGCCCTGGGCTCAGGCACTGCACTCAAATGCCACTGCAGCTTTCCCATTAGCATCAGCTGCCTGACTGCCACCTGGACACTCCCAGCCACCAGCCCTGCAGAGCGTGGTGAGGGGAGGAGCAAGGCATGTGCTTTGGAAGCTGCACTTCAGCATCTATGTGTTTTGTTGGCTGGACAAGTACTTTTGGACTATAGAAAAATACTTTATTACACATTAATCTTTTATTTTTACCTTGTTTTTTTCTGCTTTGTCCTGTATTATTTCCTATGTCTCTGTATTTGCAGAAGAACCCGGAGGAAGATGGCTCAGGGAAAACACTAAGCTGGGAACCAGGTCACTTGCTTTTAACCATCTACACTGTTCGCAGCATTGAGCAGCTTTTGCCTTTCTTCAACGTACTCAGCCAAGTTTTTAACAGCAAAGTCACAAGCAGATGTGTTGGACACTCAGGGAGCCCTGTCCTTTACCCCAACTGTTTTCCAAGTAAGGACATAAAAATGGAGAACCTCAAGACCTTCTCCAGCAAAGCAAGACAGAAGATAGAAGAAATGGTTGAGAAGGATTTTCTTGAAGGTGTCATAAAATCATGAACCAAACTGGTACTACTCAGCCTATATGTAGTGTAACTATTTAAATGAAATACTGTATCTTTCCCAGTTGTATAGTATTCTTTTCTTACTTTGTATGTTAATGATATACTTAATGTTGTATTTAAGTTAAATATTTGTAAATAAGAGAGAAGTTCTGGATGTGGCCTGACTCAAGTTTAAATATTGGTGGCTCATATTGATTATGGTGCCTACTATTTACAGTACATGTTTTGTTGTCTTGAGTTCTGTCTTTAAACAAAAAACTAAAAAAAAAAATACAAGGTGCACATTTTTTCAATTTGTTTGCAGTTTATTTTTGTATTCTTTTCTTTTTTAAAAAAAATCTATTGGAACTTGTGCTTATTTAATAATGTGGAAAATGCCATTATGTCAGGAGTTAATACAGGACTACAATGAACAATGCTTGCCAGAGGTAGACACCCTGAAGTATGCTGAGGATACTCCTGTGTTTGAAACATTGCATCCCCTTGGCCCAGCCCCTTCCATGGTGCCACAGAAGACAAACTTGTCTCTGTCCCTTCCCTCTTGAGTGTGATTATAAATACAATTAATGCAAATCACTAAGTAATTTCATAAAGCATCTAATGAAGTTTATATTGCAATAATAGATTATTATTTGCAAATGTTCTTTTTCATTATATTGTTTCCCCCTCGAACTGAGGTGAACTGAATCTCAAGACTAGTGGCAGCCACTGCCTTACACTGTTTGCCCATGGATGATTGGGCTGGTGTGGCCACTGTGAGCACAGTCACAGCAGAGCTCCAGTCAGATGCAGCTCTGCCCAGTGCTCCAAGGGTGTGGGAGTTGGATTTCAGGCACAATGTGACAATGAACTCAGCTGGGTGGAGGGGCAGAATTCCTTCTGAGCATGGCCAGAGCATGTCAAGAAGTTAGACAAACTTTTGGGAGGAGAACATTCAGCAGCAAGAACATCTCATTAAGAGGTAAGTTGCTAAAGGAGGTAAAGATTCCACTCAGTTCTGATCAGTCCTTGCTGCTCCCAGGAAATCCTGGGTCTGTGCACATATGGTAAAGAGATATGAAAAGATAAGTGAAGTTGTGTGCTTTAAGTGCCCTTGTATCATCCATTATATGGGCTGGGGTGGTGCTCCTTTTCCACCAGCAAGGTGATAAACAGCAAGGCTCACTTCATGGGCGAGCGCATCCGCATTCTCCTGCAGAAAGTTGGGAAAGATAGTTATGCTGCTGTCAGCATGAGCAGGTTATAGCAAATATGTGATATTAAGACAAGAGATTTCCTGCAAATGCTGTGTTCCCTACATTGCTCCATCATCCTGAGGCATCTGCTGTCATGCTGGCAGGGAGAAGCATGTGAAGGGAGGAGAACAGGACCCACTGCTTCTGCTGTCAACTATAAATTCAGATGTGGACTAACAACAGCAGCCAGATTTTTTTTTCTATTTTTGCCTCTTATGAAATCATGCAGTTAGGGACTGATTTAGTAACTTTCTTTTTAACCCTGAGCCTTCCAAAGGCTGATTGTCTTTTCAAAGTCAACTAGTGTCAAATCTGCCATTATAGACATTTATATTTTCCTTTTAAAGATAAACATTGAGAACATTCAACATTACATTTCTCAATAAAAAGAAAATCCAGAGGCTTTTTTTGTGATCACTAAGGGTTATTTTTTTCCAAATCTATCACTTAGGTATTATTAAATGATGAGCATGTAAACATACTTTGTCCATCAGTCCCTGCTAAGCAGATTTTTTTAACATAGACAAGTGCACTTCCTATAGAAGCTGTTTAAGCTCTGACCTGTGTGTCTGCTTCAGCATATATTCTAACGACATCTTCTGTTCCTGAGGGACGGACGAAGGCTCGTGACAACCTGTACTTCTTCACAAGGGCATCGATTTTCTCCTGTAGCCCCAGCGGTGCCACCGCGCGCCTTTCGGCGTCGGTCGTGTCGATGACGCGCCTGTCTGCCACCTGCAGCGTCAGAAATGGACAAGCCATTTGTGTGCTGGGGCTGGGCAGTGAGAGCAGACTGAGAAAGGTCAGGGTAAGACACAAAATCGGGGTTTGATGTGTTGTGCTGCCTGAAGCAGAGTTCAATTTGGGAGTTAATACAGGGCTACTCAAACACTTGGGATCCCTAAGATGCCTGCTCAGCACATATTTACCAAGCAGAGCTTAGCTGCTTGGTTTGGAAAAAGGGTCAGTTCTGAACATGCCTCCTTGGTCAGACTCTGAAGTGAAGCTGCAGTTTCTCCCAGTACATCAGAAAGTGTACATTCTGTCTGCTGGTTAATTTAGAGCCCAGAGCTCCTTTACTGTGTCTAATAGAATGCTACTACATGGCAGGCTCTTCTACTCAATACTGGAGAAGATAAAGAAACAAGAGCTTGAACATTCAAGTTACACGAAGTGGAACAGCAAGAAAAATAATCCAGCTGTCCAGCAGGCAGGGCCCATAGAGAAATAGGATTTTTCTAATTTGAAAGTTAAGAAAGAAATTCTAAGTAAACATCTGAAGAGTTTCGGTCAGATTTTTTCATTTAAAACAGTTGGTTATTATTTCATCATTTCTGTAAGTCATAGTTTTATTTTAGTCCAAGCAAAATTCTGGTCCCTCCTCTGGGTTGTTGGGCCTACATCTGCTCTTTAATGGGCTGTTTCAGCTTTACAATAAAGCTTATCTAAATATGTGCAGGCAAAAGATGCTCACAGCAGGACCCCAAGAGGCTGAGCCCACGTGGTGTGAACTCACCTGAACTTTGAGCAGCCGATTGGGAAGGTCAGTGTAGATGGTGTCCCACTCCTGCACAGTCAGACCTTTCAAAGCCAGGATTGCTTCAATAACCAGCATGTCTGAGATGGCATCACCAACAGTCTGTTAATGGGAAGGGAAGAAACATTGGAGCAATCAGCAGTGAAGAAATGAAGGCAAGATGTGATCACTAAGTTTCCAGTTGAAGAGAGTGAAAAAGCAGTCAGGCCCCCTTGCCCAGTGTGGGTAGCTGAGTTTGGCTGGCTTGGCTGGGGGCAGGTAGGTTTGGTTTGGTTTTTCCCTCCGTACCACACTGCTCCTGAGGTAAGGAGAACAGCAGCATACACATACAGCCCTACCAAGGCCAAGTGCTAGTACTCACCTCTCCTAAGGGGGACTAGCAGCTCTCCATTGTTCAGGGGTCAGGATACTTAAAACTGGCTTGGGAGGTATGATTTGGCACTACCCAGACAAATAATGTCTGCACTAAGACAGGGAGTCCCAGGGCTGTGTGGGCATGGGCACTGGAAGACCCCTGTGCTCCCATACCACATGTGTGAGTGGAAAACATAAGAGTCCTTGTTGTTGAATCACAAACAAGTCACATCCTAGCACTAGGTGCCCAAGGTATTCACTCCCTCTAAGATCCTGCAGCCAGCAGACTACACCAGACAAAAGCATTCTGCATCCACTCATGAGTATGTATCACATCTTTCTAAAGAATAGTCCCACCCTTTTCTTCATGGCCTTACTTCCTGCTCCAGCAGTCCCCAGCAGTAGCCTGACAGGTACTCACAAACAGGATTACCCTCATGACTGCCAACACAGTGATTCATTTCTCTCTGTTTTTACCTGATTAATCAGGTCAATCATGTTTTCGAGCACCTTTGCTGCTTCTCTTTTCTCAGCATCTTTCTCCTCTTTCGCCAATTGTCTTATTTCAGTTTCAGCAGCTTTACTAAATAATACCTACAATAAAAAAATGAAAGCTTGTCAAGACTGAACCAGGATATGTGCAGCAATAAGGAAGAAACTTTTACCTTTTAAGCCCCAATAACCATCATTAATATTTGCTACTATGAATTCCCATCCCCACATAAATCACAGAGGAGCTGGTGGCAATGCTATGATAAAGACAGAAGGGGGAACATGTCTGTTTTCAAACATGAAAAAAACAACAACCTACTTTATAAAAGCAAGGAGAGTGAAAAGACCTCCTTCTCCAGCTAATCTAATTAAAATTTTACACACAGGGGCTGATCATATACATTAGATGCTCATACTTACTGTACCATGTCCGTTTGCCTCGAAATAAACACCAACATCAAACTCCTGAGCCTTGTGATGCAAGTGTTTCACTCCTGTTTTGACACAGTGCACAGGTACCTGCAACCCAAGGATGTGCAGAGAATGACAACAAGGTTACAGACTCTCCTCAGCAGATGGAGCTGCAGGAAGTGCAGGGAACTGAGCACCTGCCTGGGTGAACTGTTACAAACTAACTTTCACAGCTACTGACTCCCCAGAGGTAAAATTCTCCACTACCTCTGCAGGCATCATTGAAAAAACATAAATTCATTTATTCAAGTGTAAATAAAGGCTAATTAAAGAAATGAAGAAATAAACCCCAAGTATAGAAAAACCCAATTCATTTAGAGGTTTCAGGACACACACCAGATTTCTATACAAATGGAAATAATCACAGAATCACTTTGTTTGGAAAAGACCTCTGAGATCATTCAGCCCAACCTATGACCTAACACCACCACGTCAACTAGACCATGGCACTAAGCACCACATCCAGTCTTTTTTTAAACACCTCCAGGGACAGTGACTCCACCACCTCCCTGAGCAGTCCATTCCAGTGTCTAACCACCCTTTCTGTAAAGAAATTCCTCCTATGTCCAACCTCAACCTCCCGTGGCACAGCCTATGACTATGTCCTCTCGTCCTGTCACTAGCTGCCTGGGAGAAGAGACTGGGCCCCACCTGCCTACAGCCTCCTTTCTAGCAGAGGGTGATAAGGTCACCCCTGAGCCTCTTCCTCTTCACGCTAAACACTCTCAGCTCCTCACAGAACTTGTGTTCCAGACCCTTCACCAGCTTCATTGCCCTTCTCTGGACTTGTTCCAGCACCTCAATGTCTTTCTTGAAGTGAGTGGTCCAGAACTGATAATGCTTTAGCTCAATTTCTGTAGTGAACAACATTTAGCTTGTTAGAGAAAAATGAAGCAGCATCAAAGTATCAAGGAACCTGTACTAACTCACTTTCTTGCAAAGCTATAAAGTCCTCAACTTGTCTGAGAACTAACAAGAGATTTTGTTTAGCTTTTGTCAAGCATTTTTTAAATTAGTAAAGGCTGAGTAGAACATTTTCAGCTTTGCTCTCTTGTGTCTCCTTTGCCACCATGAATTTAGTCACTGCTGCAGGTTTGAAAGAGTAATTTGATTTCACCTGCTCTAAGTTTTCCTGGTAATCCCATTACACAGCATTTACTTTAAAAGCAAACAAATTTGCAGTAAACAACATTTGCAGAAAACTACCAAGAACAAACATGGAGAATACCTTCAGCGTTTCCTCGAGGTAGCGTGTCGAACTCCCATTGGCATATGCTGTTTGTACCACAGCCATCTTGTAGTTCTGCCCCACCTGAGCAAACCAAGAAAAGTGCTTTACTGTCCCATAGGCACATAGCCAAACAGGTAGGATAAACAGAAGGATAATCAGAACTGTTAAACATTGAGTTAAAACTCCTGGGAATCAGAGGAAGGCACCAGCTCACAGAAAACTTCCATATGTTTAAAACAACATGAATTCTGTTCAAGTCTTTTATATCCCATTTTTATTTTTTGTGGCTGGCTGAAGCAGCTCTCCAAGCTTACACTTTCCAAACCTCTTTTCCAGACTCAGCTAGCTCCATGCACAGTCTGGACATGTGGCATTACATGAGGCCACACACACAACCAGTAGAGTCAAAGCTTCCAGTGCAAAGCAAGCACAGACTGGTGGCAAGCACAATTCTCCTCACTGGCCAGTTTCTCTGCCACAGAAATGAACTGGTCTCTAAGAAAACTAAACCAGGCTACTTCGTCTAGGTTTAGTATCACAGACATCAAGTCCAAGGGCACTTGTGTAAAAAAAGAAAAGCTTTTCCTCTCTGTCCCAGGTGTGGAGAGGATGCTATGTGGCAGAGACTGGTTTTGGAATGATGACACACAAACCCCTTGACTGCCACAACCAAGTTCTCATGCAAACAGAATGGCCAACCTTCATAAAGCTTCACTGGGGGAAGGACTGGAGCCAAAATTAGTGAAAGATAGTGAAAGAAAGAGAAATTAATACAAATACTTTGTACACTGAAATAGAAGAAAGCTCTCTCCCACAAAGAAAATGTTCCAGGCTAAAATATCAGTGCTCAGGTTTTCATTTGGAGCATGGAGTCCTACCCTTGTAAAAACATTCTGGCCACACCACTGAGGTACAGGACTGATCACTTTATAAAGCAGATTCACTTTAGGTAGATGTAAAGATACCACACACGTACCAACTAACACAGCTTCCTTAGAATATTTTACACTTTACAAATTAAAGTGGCAGCATTCATTTCATATGTTAGAGTTACCTTGGCAAGAAGTTCTTTAAGGAAGATACTAATTAAAGTTGCTATTTTATCTCCATCAATTAGGTGAAAATGGCCAGTTGCATCCTTATAGTAATAAACAATTCTATCTGCATCACCATCAAAGGAGCAGCATCTCTCACTGGGCTTCATGTCTAGCCCTAGTGCACACAGAGTTATAAAAGCAAGTTAGAGACACAAAAAGACACAAAATGTTTAAATTAGTCCCAGTGTAGATCTCATGCGGAATTTAGCTCTGTGAACACACACACACACAAACTAACACTCTCAAATAGATACTGCTTTTACTGCAACAGGGAGCCTGTATTGGAAGGCAACTGAGAAATGCATGTTCAAATCAAAAATATAAATACTAATATCAAACCCACAGGTTCTCTAAACATTAATGATGCTACACCTCCTTTCCAGGTGCATATGAATATCAGCCCCAGAACTACAACATGTACATCTCTAAATGTTGGAAGTAAGCACTGAAAGTCAGTGATGGCACGAGGTTATAAACCTTGCACCAGCAGAGCACCCACCCCTTTTCTCACACACTCAGGCACCACAGAGCAAACAACCACACACCAGAGCTGCACACACTGCTCACAGATGGAGGTGAGTTGCTTTCCCCCTCCGTGCAGCTGAGTGAGCTGGTGTTTGCAGAGTGACACTCAGGGCCCTGCCTAGCACCTGGGCAGGAGCCCTGGGTGGCCTTAGCTGGCCACAGGGCACACACCCAGCCCTCCCTCACTGCTCCTCTGAGCAGGGCCAGGCACACTGAGCAGCCTGAGAGTGGAGGCAAACCACATTCAGGCAGAGGAGGCCTCCAGAGCCATGTCACCTGCATTTCCTGGCATGTGGCAAGTCCTCTGTGCACTCCTGCTACAGCACTACTATGTACTTCTCCTGCCAAGACATATGGGAATTAGTCCTTCTTCCCTTGCATCAAAAAATGCCTTTCTACAAGGAAATATTTCAGGCCTGTTTAATTTCATTCCATTCTCACCTGCCAGACCTGCACCTGCCCTTTGCTTCCTTTCACAGATGAGGCACCTTCCTAATGCAAGGCAAGTGTGCACCCCCACACCAGCAAAGCCAGTCCTGAAGTACAACAGGAGGTGGCAGATAAATCCTACCACTGAAAAAACAAGCCCTCTCCAAAGTAGCCATCACCAAGATTTCTCTGAGCTGTACAAAAATTATACAAGTGGATCTGCTGGCTATAAAATGTCTCACGTTTAGTGTGCTTGATATTCAACTTACCCAACAATGTACATAATGCATAAGAAACACTTGCCTCAAAAAACTTTCCGGACTTAATTCCAAAAGAGAAACAGCTAGGAAATGTCCTCGCTGACACAGCAGAGCCATACAGAAATGAACTGCTCTTTAGTTAAGGTACATCTTGCTTTTCTTTAGATGCCATAAGGCCACATTAACCTCAGAGTCCATTTCTCAAACTGCAGCTGGCAGTTTGAGAAACCTCTGAAACCTAGGCTGGTTTCAGAGTCCATCAGGAACTCAGTAGGGAGCTCCTAAGGACATGCCACATCCTGTAACCCCTTCTTGGAAACAGTATTTTAGCACAAAAGCAGACAGAAAAACTAGCCCACCTTGGTGACACCTTGTCCTTCAGAGCACAGGAAGTTATACCCCAAACCTTGTCTGTTCCTTCTCTTGCCTAAAGTCATACAGGACAAAACATGCCACTGCCAGTGAGGTCCTGAAGCCAAAGCATAAGGTAATGGCAAATGCAACACTTAGCAGGTTGAGACTTCCCTATGACTTTAAACAGAAAGCTGATATTGCTTAACACCTTCAGAGAAATCAGACAATCTATTTCAGTGAATCATTAGGAAAATAATTCAGACGTTTTCTTTTCAGAGCACAGTCCTGCATGGAAATGACCCTCCTCAGGCACAGTTAGAGCCAGGATCCAGAGGTGACACACAAGCATCGACCCCCAGCAGGGACTGCCTCTTACTGCATTTCTCCAGGGCTCAAGCAGTGTGGGAAAGGGGAAGAACACCATACCTTAGTGTTCAGATTTGCCCAGCAGCTGCAGTCAGGGTGCAGCTGCCCAATGGAGCACCCAGTTCAGCCTCAAATAACCTCATATCCAAACCACCTTGCTCTGCCAGTTCACGGATTTTCCTTTAAACACTTTGCAGGAAATTGATTGAAATAATTTTCTCACTGGTTTATGTGAACCAGTCATTCTGCTGTCACCAAGCTGCTGATTACCCTAGCTCTCCTTCAGGAACCAGGAAAAATATCTGCAATCCCAGCCCACAAGGTAAACGTTTCTTCATAACACAAAGGGAAGTAAAATAGATAACATTAAGCCGGTCCTGACTGATCTTTGGACTCCACCAGCTTAACATTCAGCATGGAGAGTCATATATTTTTCAGCCAGTCAGAGAGATACTGTGCTCCTCCAAACACTTCAGACTAACTTAAACTAGGGATGTGCCAAGCCTGGCTGTATGAGTCTCTCTTTCATTGCACAAGCAGAACCATTCATGCAGTCACTTAGTAAGAAACAGGGAGCTCAGATTATCTGATGATGCACCATGGCTAGACCCTGCACTTTCAGACCTGGAGGAGAAGTAAAGAGATACAAAAGTACTGACTACATACCTCTAGGTGGTTTCTGGTGAACTTTCACAAAATCTGCACCACATAAGTGATTGAGTTTCTCCTTGGTTCCATCATTATATATATGAATTAGCACCTCTTTTGTAAGGTAGGGCTTCATTTCTGATAGTTTCAGTGCTCCTATTCCATTGGCACAGTCAATCTTCAGGTGCCTCTGACTCTCTCCAGAGCTGTGAGACTTAGCACAAGGGAAGAAGGGGCAAAGTGAACTCTTACCCTAGTGAAACCACACCTGAATTCAAAACTTCAGACCCAAATGAGCTAAGAAACAGAAGATATGATTTTTGTACATTAGCATGAAGAAGTAACACCCAGTATTCACCTGTTTTATCAGTTCTGTAAAAGCTTTGGAGAGTTTCTCGTAATAACCGTCCAGTGTTGCTTTCCCATACTGCCCTTGGGTGTTTTGACAGCAGACCATGTAATGTAGCTGTGGTGTTGTCACCAGGCCATAATCTAGTGTAAGATAAAAGGTAAAATATCCAGAAATAGAATTGTAAATTAGTTGTTGTTCAAAAGTTGTATAGTATTTGCTATTCTACAATAAACAGACAAATGCAGTACAGGAAACACATGAAATTTTTCAAGTTCTGTTATGGAAAAATGACTCTCCCCTGCCCCACCTTGTATTAAAGCCACACAACTATCCTGAAATAAGGTTGTTACAAGCAAGAAAGTAAATGTCTCTGGGCTACTGCTTTAGGTCTACATAAAAGAGTCACATTTCCATTAAAAACTTGAAATCAGACTCGAATTGCCAAAGTGTAACATACCATGGTACTGACCACCCAGAACAAGGACACCATCTATTACTGACTGTGACAGTTTCTCGCTGCTTGGCCTAGAAAACAACAAATACAGATGATAACCTTTGCAAAGACATTTATGCATGGACTTGGGAAGGAAGCACAGGTGGAAATCTCCTACGAGCTTCCTAACGGTAGATTTAAATTGGCTATGAAGAAACCCACACCTTTTTCTATTGCAGGCAATTCCCAGTAAGGAAGTTTGAAAGCATACACCCCGGGGAATTGCAAAGACAAGTTAACTGCTAAGTACACACAGACATCACACAGTACCCACAAAAAAACCCACATCACAATGAAGCATTCAGTTCAGAAACACTGCCAGGAAGCTCCCATAACTATTAGGGAAGCTAACATAGGAACTGCATCAGAAAACATTTATTTATTGCTATATTCATAAATTTAGGCATAAAAAAAGCACAGCCTGACTGCAGAGGGTGAAATATCCCCAAAGCACCCCTGAACACAGCACTGGTGCCTCAATAAAAGCAACATACATCAGCAGCACTTTGTAATTACCTGGTGTCTCTACCAATGAAAACTGAAGCATCCTTGTGCATGTCCACTGCTGCTTTTTGGCAGATCTCAGTTATCACTTTCTGTATTTCATGCTCCTCTGCATTTGCTAGTTGTGTGGCATATTCTTCCCAGGAAGGGTGCAGCATTTCTCCAAGAGGATCAACCAGTTTTACCCCATTGTCTTCCTTAGTAGAAAAAAAAAAAAGAACAAAAGATACTTAAGTCTACAATTGGGGAACTTAATAAAATCTCTTTGAAGGCAGCCAACAAGTGGTTCAATCACATTGCTTCTTTAAAGGTGGAGAACTTCTGGGACATGGTAACTTAGCTGCTTATTTAAACCTCCAGCAAGCCCCCAAAAGTACCACAACCAGCATATTAACTGACTATTTCTCCTTTCTACTTTTGGCATGAAATTTGATATTAGAATGACCTAACGGGAGATTCTAATAACCTCCATAGCAACAGAAGTCTAAATGCCTAATTTGTAACTGCTGCATTTGCATGGGTTTTTTTTTCTAAACTTACAGAGTTTGCTCAAAGGTTCCTCTCTTCTCAAGGGTACTCCTAGCTTGCCAACATTAGAAAGTTACCCTGCAACATAACCTACAATGCTTTCTATGTTACAGCATTTCCACATTAAAAAAAATGCTTGTGTTTACAGGGAAAAGTAACTGCAAATAAGCCTGAGACTGTATTTACAGGGAGTAGGCCAAACACACGCTTTAAGAGGTTCAGGTGCCTTCAGGAGCTGCTCTCAGTGCCATGCCCAGCTCTGATTCCACCAAAGCGATCACACCCACCTCCTGCTCAAGGGAAAGGCTGTTCTTACCTCAGGGTTGTGGGACGCTGTGACCATGATGCCAATCGTGGCTGCCACAGCTCTGGACCTGAGAGCTGCCAGCAAACCCATGCGGAACACGATGTGCTCGAGCAGCTCTGCCCTGGCGCGGAACCCAGCGGTGCCGTACTGCAGGGACAGCCCCGCAGGCTTCGGGTGCAGCGCCGAGCACTTCCCAAGGGCTTCAGGGTCCATTTCTAGAGAGGGAAGCAGCACAGATACAAGTGATAGAAGTGGCTGTAATTGGTTTCACGTTTTGCACCTTAACTCCGAATCCCACAGATACCTTAAACTGATCGTAACGAGCCCCTCGGTGGGCTCACTAGCAGAGCGAAGG